ATTGTCTACAAAATGGTTTATTTACTTTTGAGTTCTGACTTTTTCAAAAATTTCTGCAAATAAAACAAAATCATAGAAAAACGTCACGGAATTACGTACGCAGGTAGAGTTAGCTGTCCAGGCCGTATATATTCTGGCAACTTCCTAGATTAAAAAGTTAACAGATCTGAAGGTAGCCTTCTCCAGTTTTTCTGCTAGTTAGAAGTAGATTATAAAGGCTTTCGATCGAGTACTCGAGCATTTTTCGAGTATTCCCTAAAAGGTCACCACTACGAGCCTCCAAAAAGTTGTACTCGAGTGTACTCGAGTACGAGTAGATACTCGTACTCGCCCATCCCTGATATTTACAGAAAACAATATTTACCAATATATTGGTCTCTTATTGCTTAATATATTGACTTGATATGAATGAATACTTTGTAAGTTTGTGAAGTATATGTTTCACATATACAGTACAGTGGCTGCAAAACAAAAAGGTGGGTAATCCGATCATCGATATATCGAGCAATATATTAGGCGAGCTAGCTATATCGTCCGATAGTAAATAACCTAATTCGAATTGCTAGCTAGCTATATCGGGTAGCATATTGAGTTTGCTAGCGAGATCGCCCGATAGTCGATATTTTTTTTCTGCTTGGGTAGCATTTCTTTCTCTTGTGTGTTAATATATTGCTCATGTGCTGATTGATCAGCTATGAACTGTTATTCCATATTGTCCAATTCGATGTTTTGCGTATAGACAGAGCACAAAAGTATTTTATAATACCTTAGACTAAAGTCAAGGGAAAAAAGAGTGCTTAATTTTCACAACTGAGAGTAATAATAGTATATTTTGTGCGCTGAAATATGTTTGCATAGAGCCCAAAATTGTTTTGCAAATGTCCAAAATAGTTATGAAAACGTTTTTTTAATGCTTTTTTCGCTGGAAGATCGACGTTAGAAAGTTGGGGGTTATAAATATTTATAAATCAATACATTTCGGACTCACCAGTGATTATGAATGAAAATTAATGAAAACTGTATTTTTATTGAAATTACTCTTATTAGCTCATATATGTAATTTTAGTCTTTTTCATGTTTTAGAATATGAAACGATCATGTCAATAAACGATATCGAAAGAATCGATGAAGACCAAGAATACTGGGAAACGAATGAAGATCAGTGGCAAACAGCAACGGATGACGAGACGTGGGAAAATCAAAATACATTTGATCAAGTTGAGAAATTTAAAATCAAAGTGAAAAATGATATAAAAAATGGCATTAAAAACGATATTAGTTTGTATAGAATAAAGCAATTGATATTAGAGAAACTAAATGTAAATTCATTAAATAGTGTTGATGAAATTTATATTAATCATAAATATGTGAAATATTGTCTTCAATCATGGAACGATGAACAATTACCATCAATACTGAATGAAATAAAAGAAAAAAAGGATATGGAAAAATTAATTGATAATGTATCAAAAGTAAAAACAATCCAAGATGTATTGAAATTATATCCGAAATCAAAATGTTTTCAAATGTTAATGGAAAACAAAGATTTACTTTTGAAAACAGATTGTGATTTTATTTTGATACAATTTAAAGAAAATATTATTAGTTGTTTGAAAGATAATATTGATAATACTGAACAACACAATGAATTATTAATTGAAATAGAAAATAAATTGAGAAATTTATTATCGATTCATGAAATTCATAAATTTGCTAATAAAGATGAAATTAAATCAATTTCGTATATACAAAAATTTTTAATTGGACAAATCTCATTAAGTGATTTTAGTAAAAATTTTGATGAAAATTTTAAATCAACACAATTAATTCAAGAAGATAAACTAACAATTGAGAAAAGAACGTTTATTGATCAGATTCTCAATAAACTTAAATGTGCATTTAAAAAATTTGTAGAAACAAATGAAACAAAACTAATTACTTCAAGTGTTCAACAAATTAAAAAGATAATTGATTTTGGTTTAACATCAGTGGAATTTGAAAGTCTTGAAATTGAAAAACGAAATATTCTTATAGTAAAAGGAGTTTATATTTCACTAAATTATATATTGACAACATTGGAAGAAAACTTAAAAAATTCAGTTGAAGTTTGGTTAATGGCATCAGAAAATTTGTTTATTGATTGCGATATAAAAAGTCAAATATGGCGTGGAAAAAATATGGCAATTTGTGCAAAACAAATAATTATTATAGACAAGAGAATAATTGATGTTTCAGGATTAAATGGTCAACCAGAAAATAAGCCATCAAAAGCAGAAAATGGTAAAAAATATGGAACTGAATCGGATAAAAATGGAAAACATGGTCAAAATGGTATGAAAGGTGAAAGTGGAGGAAATATAACAATTATATCTGAAACAATTGAAAATGGAAATAATTTAGAAATTAAAGCAAATGGTGGAAATGGAAGTTATGGACAAGATGGTGGTGACGGTGTAGATGGTGAAAAAGGTGCAGATGGTCATGGATTAGAAATGGCCGAATTTAAAAGAAATTTTCCACCAGCAGCAAAAATGACCGGTAGACAATCAATGGGAAATGTAAAAAGAATTATCGCTTATATAGAAGAAAATGCAACAATTACAAAAAATAAAAAATGGGGAGAAACTTTTGGGAGTCACGCACAAGCATGTCATTATATTGAAGCTGAAACAGCACAAGGAAATCGTATTTTTTTTTCCTATTATTGGACAATATTTCCAATAATTTCAAAAGAAGCTTATTGTTTCTACGAAGGAACATTTGGTAAACCGGGAACACCTGGCGGTTTTGGTGGACTCGGTGGATATGCAGGTGAGTACAACGGAATTGATACCCAAGAGTGTCGCCGTTGGCGACACCCGTTTGTGTTTTTATTCAATGTTAGCCGTGTTGCTAGCTGATGTTTTTTGTGATTATTATGGAGTATTTTGTACGTGCAGTTGCTTAGCTCTAAAAGCATTTGACTTAAGCTCCCCTCCGCCGGGTCAGAAATGCCGATTTTCGTCAAAAATATTGATTTTGAGAAAAGCACGTGGTTAGATAGCTCTAAGTGTCTACTTTCTAATGGCATAATTTTTGTCGATAGGATAGATTTTCCGTAGGTTTTTAGCTAGTTTTTCAGAAGTCCTATAGCAAAAAAATGTTTTTTTTGCACTTGTATGCATAAGCGCACGCATGTGCCGCACATGTTCATTAGACCCGCCATGGCCGATAACCTGTAGCAAAATATCAACAAATTATTAGACGATCAAACAGTTTTTAAGTAAAAGGCATTTAACAGAATCAAAACTTGTTTTGCGTTTTTCTCAAAACTGTTTTTTAGCTTCAGGGCTTTCGCCATCCCCAAGAATTTTCGGTAACGATACATCGAAGAAAGAAAATTTTATTTTTGATTTGTAGTATCATCTATACTCAGGAGTTGACGGAGTCCGATTTTTAAATTATACTTCTATTTTTTATAGAAATGAGAATTTGTAAGAAACCTTCGGAGGATTTTTCGGGCTTTAATGTCCTATTAAGCACTAGAAATCAGTAAATGAGAAATTCAAAATCGGGCTCTGTCAACTCCTAGACATAGATGTTTACTGCAGAACAAAAGCAGCCCGAACTCTCCATCATTTACCTGGAATGAGAATTCTTGTGCGTGATAGATAGTACACGTGGTAGACTATTTTGGTCCATGCTGTGGCGCCCTCTCATGAACCGGTGCAACTGACGCTAAAAAAACATTTCGTTACCACACTTTGACATGGTCAACGTTCCCTGAAAGTTTGCTTCAGATCAGACCTACTTGGGCTGAGACAGGTTTCTTACCCAGCAGAGGGGCCTTAAGTCTAACATGAATAGAATATATGTCTTTTAAAAATATTGAATTTTTGTTTCATATGCAGGTGAACCGGGATTGGCAGGTGACATTAAAATTTTAACAAAACCTGGGATAAAAGCAAACATTAAAACAAGTGCTATTGATGGAAGTCGAAGTTCTGATGGACAAAAAGGTCGAGATGGAAATTTTGGTAAATCTGGAGAAAATAAACCTGATGTTGGTTACATTGATTATGATATGTGGAGAGAGCCTCTGTATTACGAGCCTAATTGGTATAAATTATCAACTTATACAAGTAGTGGTGCGCACAGAATCCGAGATTCAGAATATGAAAACAAAACACAATATGTACAAATTGAGTTAAGATCAGCACCAGAACCGCCGACGTGTTTATCAATAAATGAAGCAGAAAAACAAAGACATAATAATACGAAAATAAAAAAACAAGAAGCAACAAGAAAACATGCAATTTCAAATGAATTATTAACACAAAATTATAATGATCATCAAAGGCAATTTGCGATAAGTTCAGTTGAAAGTTTACAAGTTAATGTTAATTTATTTCGAGAACAAATGTCACGTATTCAATCTGAAGAAAAACAAATTCAAAAAGAAAATATTTGTATTACAAAATCCTTTATTGATGAAACACATTATAAATTAAATATATTATCAAGAAAAAAAGTTGAATTGAATAACAAACCATCGTTATTGTCACCATCAAATTCATTAAATATTATTGAAAAATTATTAGAAAAATTAAAAATATGTTACAAAGATAAAAGTGAAGTTTTACAAACACACATGATTATTTTAGAAATGAACGAA